GGCCTCTAGTATTACATATACTGTATAAGTAAAAGCAAAGAGGTGAAAAATACACTTAAAAAGTTTTTCCTAGAACTTGGTTAAGCTTCAACTATTTACAGCCATCACTTTTATATAGCACCCATTTCTTACTGCTATGCACAGCTCTTAAGTTTAAACTTATTGAGAGCGTATTAAGAACTGGGTTTTAGAAGTTGGTTTGTGGTAATAGTTACAAGCTTGTTTATCTTTGTTTTGGCTTGTTGCAAAAATATTTTCTGAAAATGCTTCAAAATCTTTTTTTTTTTAAGGGAAGACATTTGTGGAGCTAGAGAGAAATGTGACACATTAGGTAAGTTATTTTGTAAATTAAGTATAGCCTATATAATTGTTTACTGAATTATTTAAGGTGATGTTTAGGTTATTTTACATTTTAATCATTTTGATCAATTATCTTGATTAATGATTATAGTTGTCACTATTATTTGATTCTGCTTCTATAAATTTTAAAGACTAATAAGAACTAATATATGCCAATTACTAAATATCAATTGCTGTGCAGAGCTTGACATATTTTAAGTGTTTTCATTTATAATACATTTTTTAAATTTATCTTTATTGTTGAAACTATTAGATGTCCCCTTTCCCCTTCCCGCATTGACTTCTTTCTATACTGTACCCCCCACCCCTGGGCTTCACAGTACTATTGTTTGTGTCCATGGATTATGCATATACACATACAAGTTCTTTGGTTAATCTATAATATTTTATTCATGCAAAATAATACTTAGTAACCTATATGCAAATTTAAAGCAAAATAATAAAATAAATAGCCATGAACCCACCACCAGATTTAAGAGCTAGTATTTCATCAACACTGCTGTATGGCCTGTGCTAAGTCCTATTCCGGCCCCTTGCATTTCCCAGGAGGTAGCCAATAAGTGAATTTGTATGTGCCAGTTCCTTCCATCTTTTGAAAAAGTTTTATTAACTTATATGTAAATGTGTTCCTAAAAGAAATTGTTTGGTTTTGCTTCTTTTTGAGCTTTGTAGTAGTAGTTCATGCCTTTTCACTGCTGTATAATATTTTGTCCTATACCTGTTAGTGGATTGGCCTGATTCCAACTGTGATCTATTACAGACTTTACTATAAGAGCTGGGGTATAGTCTTATGATTAGAATTGCTATGTCAGTAAATGTGCTAATGTTCAATTATTATAAGATTTACCAAATTATTTTCTAAAGTAGTTTTACTGATTTAGACCTTTATAAATAGTATATGAACTTTCCTTTTGATTATGTCCTTATCAACACAAGCTATGTTCAGATTGCTTATTTTTGCCAATCTGAATATAATATATTTTATTGCAGTAATAATTTTCAGTTCAATGATTACTAATGAATATTGTCTGTCGTGCTTGTCTTTGTAAAAAAACAACACAATAGTTGGCTTTTTATCTGTTTTGTTCTTGTTATTAATCCTCACCTGAGGATATTTTGATATTTTCCCATTATTTTATTTTTAGATAGAGTAGAAGAGAGAAAGGAAGGTGGAGGGGATGGGGGGGGGGGGGGGGAGGGACATCAATGTGAGAGAGACTCATTGATTGGTTGCCTCCCGCACATGCCCTGGGAACGAACCTGCAACCTAGGTATGTGTCCTTGACTGGGAATCACACTCTTTTGATGCTCTAACCACTGAGAAATACTGGCCAAGGCTCTGTGTTTTTACTTCATTAATTTCTGTTCTATTTTTTTTTCCAATTTTACTCCTACTGTTCTATTTGTAATGTAAATTGTCTGCTTAGCTGGTTAGCATCCAGGCTATTTTCTTTTCTAATTTTATTATTTAAAACTATCGATTTACTTTAATGTATCATGTTGTTGTGTCCCACAAGTTTTGATAGATATTTTTCATGTCATTTAAATTTTAAAAAATTCTAAGTATGTGTAAATTCTATCATGATTTCTTTGACTTATTTAGAAAAGCATTTAAAATTTTCTTCATATTAAATTCGCATTTAATGTCATTGTAGTTGGACAACATGATCTATATAAAACCTATTCTTTGAAATCTTTTGGTATTACCTTTGTGGTCTATTATGTAGTCAATTAAAAAATGCTCTATGTATTTTTTAAAAGAATGTATATTCCCTAACTATGGTACACAGGGTTCTCTATGTCTGTTAAATCAAAGTTGCTTAATTGTATACTTACTAATTTTTTGCTTATTGGTAACTAGCTTGAAACATGAGTATATAACTTGAAACATGAGTATATATCTGTACTCTTCATATAGTATTACAATTTTTCATTTCATCCATTTTCAGGTGAATGTTTTTGGTACATATAAGTTTGAATTGAGCCTTTTACAATTGTATAGTGACCCCAACTTTTTATATAGTATTTGCTGGATATATCTGTTCCTCCAATTTCCCAGTGCCCTACTTTAGGTGTTTTGCTTGAAAACAACATATAATTGGATTTTAAAAATAACGTCTATAATCTGTTTAACTGGCAAAATTAGTCCATTTACACTAATTGTAATTATTGTTATATATTGACATATATATATATATTTTTGATTTTCTTTCTGTTTATTCCATTTTGTACTGTGTTTCCCTTCCCTACCTTCACTTTTTTGGCCTCCTTTGGGTAATTACATTTTTAAATCAGTTTTTTTATTCTACTGTTCTCTTTGCAGGTTGAAATTGTATATACTATTTTATTATTTTTGAGGTTACTCTGGCTTTTTACTAACATATTTAACATTGTCTAAAGCTGTCTCCTAAACAGATATCTTAGATCACTTAAACTTTGTTCAACTTTCTTCTACCTTACATGATAATGTCTATTTTATATCACTTTGTAAACTTTGTGTATTAAAGGGTAATGTTTTGTATTTAATATTTGTTAAAATTTGTGCCCACCTTTACAATTTTTTCATAATTTCATCCCCTCCGCTCTGAATTATGGACTTTAAAAGTTCCTTTAGTGAAGATATATTAGTGAAAAATTCTCTATTTTATTTATTCTGGAAGTTTCTTTAATTTACCCATATGTATTTCTAGTACCAATTCTAGGTCGACAGTTATTCTATGTCAGTTTTTTGAATTTGTAATTGTATTAGCTTTTGGCTTTTGCTATTGAGAAATCTGTAGTCTGTTTAGTTGTAGATTTTTGGTGATTTGTTTTTTATTCTGGCTGCTTTTAAGATCTTCTCTTTGTTTTGGATATGACACAGTTTCATTAAAATTGTTTCTTAATATAATTTTCTTTTTATTTATTCTGCTTGGGATATGTTGTGATTCCTATATCCATTGATTAATATCTTCAACTCTGAAAATTTCCCAACCTTCTTTTCCTTCAAAATGTGTCCTTATATTCGATCTGCTCTCTCATGGGACCCTAATTACATTTGTATTAGGTCTTCTCATACTGTTTCCCATGCTTTCATTTCTTTTTCTCCTCATGTTTCATTCAAGCAGTTCTAACATGCATTTTAGTATTTCTCTCTCGTCTGCTTCTAATTTGATATTTCAACCATCCTCTGAATTTTCCATTTTAATATGTTTTTCAATTTAACAGATGTTAGTTAGCTCTTATTCAAAATCTGTGTTCATTTTGTTTACATTCTTTTTATATTTGTTCATATTTGTAATTGCCTTTCATGTTTACTTAAACGTTTCATTTGGAGTAATAGTATATTCATCTCTGACAGTTCCCATATCTTAAACAGTTGAAGGCCAAATATGTGGTTTCTGCTTTCTCTTGTGTTGACTTGTTTGTATGTTTGGCAATCTTTGATTGTGAGCTCATATTTACTTAATATTAATCCATGAGATTAGAGGTGAACTGCTTAAAAAGAATGTACTTTCTTTCAGAGAGTATTTTCTGGTGTTTTGCTGTTACCCAAAGGGTGCTACTAACCAGGGTCCTTGACTTGATGTGGAAAACTCAGGATCAGTTACTGTACCTTGAGGCTTCTTCTACCAAGCTCTTAGTCTCTGGATCATATTACTTTTATCAGTATTTTCCCTCAGAGTATCTTCTATCCTTACTATCCATTGCTTACCCCTTAAGATTTAGCTCAGGTATAAATGTGTGTGTGTGTATGCATGCATATTGTATGAGAGAGGGGCAGCGGAACAATATATGTTAGATTTTGGAGATTGAGACTTGATCATTCTTGTAAAACATGTCAAGTCAGTATTCATTAAAACGTAGTTTTTATTAATGATCTAGTTTCTTTGTGTTAGGAGGACTCTTAAGAAACTGTAATCTTCTATAAATGTGAAAATAGATAACCGCTACTGTAATTATTACAACAGGACCCTGTTCTCTTCTCTCTGAAAACTATTCTCTGGCTATGTTAGGTATAGTATTTTATCAGTCAATCTAACAAGAATCCATAAATATATTTCATATTATCTATGTCCTATTTTCACATCTTTATACTAAAAGTTAAATATGAAAATGTCTGCCACATCTTACTGTTTTTTTAAATGATTTAATGCTAGATATTCTGAACTATATATGTAGAAGTGGGTAGTCTTCTAGTCTCCATTCATTTTTTTGGTAGTTTCCAGCCTCCCCAATGCACATCAATCATAGTGACATTTAGAAACGTAAACTGAAAATAGAGTGTTCTTATTATTCTATTGAGGGAAGGGTAATGATAATAATGATAACTGATATATCCGAATGGATTTTATATACAATACTAAATTTTACATGATTTAACTCTTAATGTCTACAACAAATCTATGAAGTAAGAACAACTATTCCAATTTTATAGATGAGAACAAATGATTTTCCCAGGGTTGCCCATCTTGTATTAACACAATATATAGTATTTTATGTTCTCATCTAAAATATATGAAAAAACAACAAACTAAGGATAGTTCTTAAGATAAATACAGAATGTTGGTAATAATTGCTATATCTTCTTTTGCAAGTACTGTTGCCCCAGTCTCTGAGCTTGTTTTGCAAAGTGTGTTGAAAATGGTAGTTATTGTTCAAGATGGCTGGATTAGATGACTCTGTGCAGCTTATTGCACTAACAAACAAGGGAGCCTGTATCAAATTTGGGCCCATGCTACTTTATTCTATCTTTGGCCACTTTTAGAAAACCCAATACCAGCTTGAGTGGATCTAGGCAAAAACCATCAACAAGTAGCTTGGTATCACAATGCTATACATTCAGTTCGATTTTTGTTGGTCTTGACTGTTTATGGGCATACTTGAATGTGGTTTCTATTCACATGCAATGCATATTTTCACAAGTCTATTATGTGACTAAAATGGCCATATTAGAATATATCCTTAAGCATGAAACAAAGTTTGAGTGGTAACAGAGACAATATCGTGTTCCAAATATCTCCATGTCCCTGAAAATAAATATATTGGAACTTGAGCCATTTGACAGATTGAAAATACTAATGAAGACAGGGAGGACAGCAGAAATTTATGGAAAAATTTGTTCAGTTATAACTTATTCTGACAAAGGAGAAATATAGTATTGACTAAAACTGATTAAAGAATTTCACATACAATATGAATTTCCCTCATTCTTTGGACAGTTTAGCTACATTTTATTTATTTTTTTCTTCCTTGCTTTTGGTCTTGATTCTAAGAAAACGTTCTTTGGTGGTGGTGGGGGCTTTGCCCTAGTAAGTTTTTTTTTTGGCCAGAAAAGGGTCAGAAAGAGAGCAGATCTTTTCTTATTGTTTTGTTGTTGTTGTTAATCTTTACCTGAGGATATTTTTCCATTGATTTTTAGAGAGAGTAGAAGGGAGGGAGAGACAGATGCTCTGTCCACTGAGCCAAACTGGCTAGGGCTCTTTCCTTATTGTTAAAAAAAGTGTTGGCGAATGAACTCAGTCTGATTTTTTCCAGCATTTTTAGATTCTTCAGTTTAACCTCTATTTCTTTTAAATCCCAACAAAGCCATTCTAATTGTTGGGATACTTACTTTAAATGTGGGGAAATGTCTGTTTTGAATTTTTATGAATAAAGGAATACATAGGAGTAGAAAGTTAAACACAATAGATAATACAAATCAAGTCTATATTGACATTTCTAAATGCAAAAACGTTACAGTAAGAAATTGGTTAAAAATGAAAAATTCTTTATGAAAGGAATCATTGTAGGAGAGAAGCTAAATTTACAAGCAAATATTGAAGGATAGTAATAGCAAAAACCAAGGTATTATGTTAAATTAAAAATAAATGAAATAGAGCTTGATTGATAGAATATGGATTGTTGTAATGAACTCTTATTTTGAATTTCTCATTCTAGTTTATTTTTAAAGGACTCTATCAACTGGAATTACTGTGTCAGCCAGTTCATACTACCTTCATCTTTCAGCAACACATTCGTTGCGTGTTATCTATAATAATAAAAGTGTAATATGCTAATTAAACTGGACGTCCTTCCAGATGAAGCTGGGGCTGTGAGGGAAGCCCGTGCCCTGGGTGCCTGCTGGTGGCTGGAGGGAAGCCTGGGTTCTGGTTGCCTAATGGCGGCCAGAGGGAAGCCTGGGTTCAGGTGCCAGAGGGAAGCCAGTGCCAGTAGCCGGGGGGGAAGGAAGGCCTACTCTTGCATGAATTTCGTGCATTGGTCCTCTAGTTCTTTATATAAGCATGAATAGGTGCTAATATATGATACATTTTCCATTGCTGAAATAGTTATAAAATTAAGTTCTTGCAATAATTCTTGCAATAATCATGTTTTATTTAACATACTAGTGGCCCTGTGCATGAATTCATGCACATTGAAAGAAAATTAATTAGAAGAAATATTTTAATATGGCTATTCTCTCTTTATAATAGAATTGTCAACCAAATTCACGATCGATATGACAGATCGAAACACACGCATGTGATTAGCACCAGTGAGCTTTATCTGTATCGTGCATGAGCAAGTCAACTTAGCCTTTTATATATATAGAATAAACTTGCTTAATTAGATCTGCTTTCTGATGTAGCTAAACTTTTTCCAGCCCAGTGAAGCACCCCAACTTCTCTTTCAGGTAATTGTCAGCAACACAGCAGTAATATCAACACAAAGCAGATTATTATTGTAGATCACACAGGGAGAACAAAGGGTAAAATATTTAACTGCAGCAGGGTTTGACTATATTCTGCGCAGTAACAAAACCTGAAGTCATTTTCAAGGTCCACCATTTCTTCTTTTCAGTTGGGTCAAGTTTCTAAGCTTTCTAAATCTCCCTTTTCCGGCTAATGAAAAGAAAATATGATTCCATCGAGTCTCCTATCTACCTACTCCAGGACTTCTGTGAGGATCAAAGGAGATGAGGCACGGGAAAACACTTCACAGACATTTGGCTAAAGTGTAAAATGTTTCCACCAGGATATAAAGCAAGTCGTGTTCTTGGGCTGAAGAAACTCCAAGGAGGCTAGTCACTAGGGAGAGGAAGCTGGGCGTTGCTACGTGATGTCATTACCCGGCACCCACAGCGACCATTTCCAGGCTGGGCTGGGCTGTGGGCTGCATTTTGTGCCATGGGGTCTCAGCAGCGTCGGCTGCGATTTAATGGGGTGTCACTCCAGGGTGGTGGTGGGGCCTGTGTCCCACTTCGGGGAGGCCGAGTGTTGCTTTGTGGGTACCAGGTCCACGATGCCATTGCTCAGTAAATGGCCAGTGTGTGTCACAGCAGCTCCTGCATTGAGCATCTGCCCCCTGGTGGTCAGTGTGTATCATAACGACTGGTAGACCAGTTGTTCTGGTCATTAGGTCATAATGGTCGCTTAGGCTTTTATATGTAGATATAGATGTAGATATATAGATAGAGATAGAGATATATAGAAAAATAGATAGAGATATATAGATATTAAATGCTAGGTGCCATTCTAAGCTTGTAACATATACCAGGTGGGGCAAAAGTAGGTTTACAGTTGTGAATACATTAAACACAGTTTATTCTTGTATTGCTATTTATTAATTATTGTATTTTTCATATGAACAGCTGTGAACCAATTTTTGCCCCACCCTGTATTCACTCATTTAGTAATCATGGTAATTGAATAATTGTATGCTGCTTGAAAACTTAAGGAAATTATAGATAATTTATAAATTATTGTGTCCCATGCTATTTTCTTTACCAGTTATCCTATTACCAATTTCATTCATTGCCTTTCTTACAGTCTACACTAATATGGGTCTAAAAGTTTATCCTTCCTACAACAAATAATTTTTTTTCTTTTCCTGTTTTAGAAAAATTGTTTGATCGCCCATATTTTTAGATTATTTTCTTTAGTAAAGGAATCCAAGAATTTCTGTAAAAGACAAACTCAGACAAATCATTTTTTTCCTTCTTTACCTTATAAAATGTTCATGCACTGTTAACAGTCACTCTGCATTCATTTCTAGGTAGTAATGCCATTGGTAAATGCTTTAAAATTGAATTCTTACTTTATGATTTGGTATTTCCCGTTTTGATGAAATATGAATGTGAAATTTTTCAGGCTTGGCAGAATTAGGCACCCTGTGTGACCCTTTACGGAGCTGTTCTATTAGTGAAGAAAATGGCCTCAGCGCCGCCTTTACCATAGCCCACGAGCTGGGGCACGTGTAAGTACCTTCTGTCACCTCAGTAATATGCCTTCTCTCCATTCCACTTAGTGCATCTAAAAGTCCATCTTCAATTAAATGATTAGCACCTTTATGTCTTTAAAAATATTTTAGTGTAATTTTTATCCCCGAAATGCTAACTCTGGCTCTTTTGTGATCTATGTTAGGTCAGACAGGCTGCACAGATCAACAGACTAAGCAAAGAACTAGAACTTGTGAATTCTTTTATTTCATTTACTGTATTGGATTACATGGCAAGCACTTCTGGCCTCTATCCCTTGTTATCTTATACATGACCAGGTACTGTCCTCTACCATCCTATGGGAGGGCCTACAGGGCTGCTGGTTATGGGCGACTCCCAAAAATATTTGTAATACCAACTCATTTCTTGCCCTTATAGCTCAGAGCTCCAGCAGAGAATGTGGTATGTGAAAATTGCTTAATAATTAAAAGATTTAAAAAACTTTTTCTCTGAGATCCATAGTTTTTTGTTGTTGTTTTGTTTTAGGTGTTTGTGTGTGTGTGTGTGTGTGTGTGTGTGTGTGTGTGTGTTTGTGTACATGTGTAAAAATTTGGGATTCTTCTATCTGTTCCTACATTAATAAAAATTCTAATGGGGTTCTATGCTGTAAGAATGGAGGCTGCGATTTCCAATGATACCTTTGTAGCTCCCATGGAAAGTCAGAAACCCCTATACAATCTCATCCTCTGAAAAATGATTCCGATGAACCCCCAGAACACCTGGGATTTCTTGGTTAATGGCTTATAAGGAATGGAGGCTTAGGTTGCCTCTTAGTTTGACTACATTTTCTTTTCCTGGTCATGCTTTGACATAGAGTATTCAGCTGAGACAATTCCAAGTGGAGATCATTTTCAATAAACTAGTACCTCTTCCGTTCCCTTTTAGGATGGTTCTATCTCATGAGCATCAGCAAGATGCACACTCAGATTTTTTAAAAATTATTTCTTGAAGGGGGATAGGGTCAGGAATATAACTGAGGGCCATAGATGCATTGCAGTGGCATCAGAAAAACACTATTTGCTGGTTTAGAAGACTGTTCTTGCAGAGAGCACCATCTAGATATTTATTCTCCTGAGAAATTCTTTAGGTGTCTTCAGAATATGGGTAAGTAGTTTAAAAGACTGGTCTAAGTACAGATTTCAGCCTGCAAGTTAGTTCCAATGTTCCTTTTAACTGTGAGTTTGTACTTGGGCCTCAAAAAATGCATAGGATCTGATCTGTTGCCAACCAGCTAATTATTTAATGTTGCTCGTGTTGTGAAAATTTGTTGCCTTTTAGGAATGTTTTTATTATTCTAGTCTATTCATCATCACTTAGTGATTATAGACTAGAAACTTAGGCTGTTTCATATAAAATAGGTGGATATCCTATATAATAAGAGAGGGATATGCTAATTAGCCTGGATATGCTAATTAGTCACGACCAGATATTCTAATTAGTCATAACCAGTATGCAAATTGACCATCACTCCAACACAATAATAAGAGAGGTGTATGCT